GTGACACCGGAGAGGCCGTCCCAGTGGGAACATCGCGGCTTGTCGCTGCTGCTCGCGATGTGCCGGGGTGCGGCTCCAAGGCGCAGGGGTGCCTGGCCGGGGCAAGGACTGGGGTACAGCATTGCCGGCGCTGCCGTGGCAGCACTCATCTCTGGTCCCGGTGTCTGAATCTCTGTCGGGTGCCTGTGCGTGTTGTGTGTGTGCGTGTGTGTGCCGGGGAAGAGGGGAGGAGGGAGGAAGAGGGGTGGTGGTGGTAGCGGCTGGCGGGAGGGGGATGATTATTGGCAATGGGCGGGAGAGAAAGAGGCGACTCCTGTTTCCTTTTCTTTCTGCCAGCGCAATCTCGGCTCATTTTCTCTAAGCTATACAAGTTCACGGACGAGCTATCTAGCCAACCCGCCTCTCCCGTCATGGACCTCCCAGGTAAAAAAGCCGTTCTCGTCCCCGCCGGCTGTTCTTTTTGCAAAATATCATTTTAAATGATAGCAAGAGTAAGGTGCGGGGCTAGGTAGAGATGCCTCTGTGGAAGTGTAGGGGCGATCTCCCAGGAGCGAGATCACCGGGTGTTCTGGTGAACGGGAAAAACTGAGATGCAACTTCAGAGGGAGAAGCCGGGTGAGGCTTTGACTCCTGCGATATGTGTGCATGCCGGGCTGGGAACCGGGGGATATCTAAGCCAGCTGCCTCCTTCTCGCGACTTTAGGGAGTCGCCGGGGTCGGCAGCAGTGGTGGTAGCCTGGCCTGGGGCACAGAAGGCTGGGAAGTACAAATCGGTGCCCGAGCGCGGCAGCCCGCAGGCGGGGAGAGGGCAGCGGCGGCTTCCAGAGCCCGGCCAGGGCGGGAGTGGGGGGTTCGGGGCGCCCCGGCTGCCAGCGAACTCTACAGATAGCGAAGCAGCTCCATCGAGGGGAGAGAGGGCGCGTTACTTATAACAAGAATAAAATTTCCTTCCGTTGTGTCCGGGGCGTTAGGAGATGGACACAAACCAGGCTCGCAGATGTAGTTAATAGTGGGGCTGTGGGAAGAAATGGAGCCGGGTTTTGGAGACCCCATTTGTTGTGGGTCAGGAAAGGGACGGCCCGAGGCAGCCGCAGAATGCTCCGCCGGGGGTTTGGGGATGCAGCGCTGTCCCCTCCTCCCCGCTGGGATTACGGCAGGCTGCTGGGGAACCGGAGAAAGAGGGAACACCGGGCAGCCAGGTATCTCCCAGACCTGTTGTACTCCCTGAGGCGCCGGGGGCGGGGAGGGGGAGCCCGCCGGGCGGCGTGGTGCCGGCTCCCAGCTGCCCGCTGCTGTGCTTCACTGCCGCCTTTCCCCTTGGCAGGCTGCTGCGTGCCGCCCGCCCTCTGAGAAGGCTCCTTCGCCCCGCGCAGAGGAGGAGGCGGAGGAGGAGAAGAAGGGGAGGAAGGCGCGGCCGCAGCCGCCGCTGCCCAGCCGCCGTCCCGCAGAGCGCTGGCCGCAGGGCGCCGCGGCGGCAGCAGGCGCGCAGCCCCCTCCGCCTCCCCGCGGCCGCCCGCCCGCGGCGGCGGCGCGGGGCGCCCGCATGTCGGCGGCGATCCGGAGCGGCGGCGGCGGCGGTCCGGCGCCGGGCATGGGGCGGCGGCGGCGGGGGGCGCTGCCGGAGCCGGCGGGCGGCTGCTCCTGCTGCCTGGCGGCGGCGCTGCCGCTGCTGCTGCTGCTGCTGCCCGCCGGGTGCCCGGTGCGGGCGCAGAACGACACGGAGCCCATCGTCCTGGAGGGAAAGTGCCTGGTGGTCTGCGACTCCAGCCCCTCGGCCGACGGCGCCATCACCTCCTCCCTGGGGATCTCGGTGCGCTCGGGCAGCGCCAAGGTGGCCTTCTCGGCCACCCGCAGCACCAACCACGAGCCCTCCGAGATGAGCAACCGCACCATGACCATCTACTTCGACCAGGTCAGGCGCTGCCTGCTTCGCCTTCGCTACCCCTTGTCCCCGCGCCTTGCGCGGGCATCCCCCGCCCCTGCCTCCCCCTGGCTGCACCCGTATTCTCCTCCTGGTTCCCGCTCCATCTGTTAATCCCGACCCACCCGCTCAATAGCAACTTCACGTCTCAACGGCCCAGAAAGACTTCGGAAAGTTCTTTCAGGTAGCTGCAGGGCTTTCCTAGGGTGGTACCGGGGGTGAGCACGCTGGCTTCTTGTCCGGTCACAATCGCTAGGACGGAGACAGCTTTAACGTGAAAGTCTGTGCCTCGGACGCGTGCGGGGGCGCCTTGCGGCCAAGGATTGCCTCGGCCAGCCAGGAGCGACTCGGGGGAAGGGCGTACATCCCTCCTTCTGTGCGAATTCAGAGAGGTACCGATGAGGAGTCGCCGGATCTGCCTGTTCGGAGCGCATTTGGCAATGTCACAGCATCTCTCAGAGGGAGGGAGGGATGAGGAAGAAGAGGGTGTTTCCCGCGTTATCGGACGAGGCAAACGGTGTCCCCGGCGGGCTATATCGGAATGGTGTTATCCCGCACGGCGTACGCCGGGCAGAGCAGCGAACAGCCCTAGCCCTGCCTGCTTGTCCTGCCCCGTGCCCCTGCCTCGTCGCACCGCTTCCCTCCTGGAGACAAAACCCCGTCCATCCACTTTATTTTTGCGGTGAAATTTCCTTTTTTCCTACCGCCTCTGACTCCTGAAGTAGTATTGAAGAGTCAGCCAAAATTAGCATACCAGACTGTTTTCTTTGGACTTGTTTATTTTTTGGTTTCTTGAGTTATTTGTTTGGTTTTTTTACCTGCCTGGTTGTCATTTATCTGTCTACCTGTTCCTCTTAATGGGTTTGCACAGGCATTCGTTGCATACAAGATCTCATAAAATCAGATCAGTAGAGGAAAAAAAAAACCAAAACAAAAATCAAACCCCCAACTTGCTAAATATATAGCATATTTTAGACGCTTTACCCGGCAATGTGCAGTTCCTGGGAGTTTGAAGACATTTTCTCGGCACTCCCGCAATAAGGTTTTTTAATTCATTTTTTTGTTCCTTTTTTGAGGGAAGATATAGACTTTGGCTGTTTGGGAGGAAAGGCTTGGGATGTGGAGGGTGGGAGGGGGGGAATGGTGTTTTTTTTTTTTTTTCTCCTGCTTCGTATTTTTTCATTAAAGCAGAATTTTAGCCAGCAAACTGAGCGTGACGGGTGTGTCCCGGGGGTGGGCACGGCGGAGCGGCCGGCTCGGGCACACCCGCACGCCGGACGGCATCGCCACCGACCCGCAGGTTCTCAGCCCTCCGCCCGAGCCTTCTGGTGCCTTTTGAACCAAAGCCAGGGCCCCGTCAGATCGGCGGGATCGGCAGGGTGCGGCCGCCGCTTCCGAACGGGGCTTTGCACATCTGGCGGCGTGCTCAACTCTTCATTTTTTTTTTTTCTTTTTTGTTTTGTTTTGTTTAAAAAAAAAATTGAAATGTATGACAAATTAATGTTATTGCCCGGATGGAGGAAAAGGCCCATCCGAGCCTCCTGAGGAGCGTGTGTGGGCCAAGTGGCACAGCCCTCCAGAGGGACAGAGAGACATGAGCCGGCAGATGTTGCTGTTGCTGAGCGCCGTCTCTCCTCCTTTGCCCCTCTCTGCAGTGCAGTTTTAGTTCAACTCGAGACCAGCCCTGATTTCAGTAGTGCTATCTAAAAACCATACATTTCTATTATGAGATAATGACTTTTGGTATTTTTTCCTGCTTTTTTTTCCCCTCCCTCCTTCCCTCCATTTCACACTCCTCCTCCTCCTCCTTCTGCCACCTTTGCTTTATTGACAGCTCAGTGTGGACATTTGCACTTCATCTAACATGCTTTGGAGATAATTTTTGTGTAACTAAATTGCTTTATTAACTATGATGCCTTTTAAATGCCTCTGCAACTTGACTCCATTCCCCTGCCATGCACTTGTGCTGCAAATGCCATTTTGACTATGCTTTATGTTGGTCATTGAGCTCATGTCAGATTTTTGCTGGTGTTTCCCTAAGGTGGAGTCTGATTTCTCTGATTTCTCTCTCTCTCTCTCTCTCCTTTTCTTTGTTCTGTTTTATTTGTTTATATTCCAGGTATTAGTTAATATTGGCAACCATTTTGATCTTACTTCCAGTATATTTGTAGCACCAAGAAAAGGGATATATAGTTTCAGTTTCCACGTGGTCAAGGTCTATAACAGACAAACCATCCAGGTGGGTTGTAATTGAAAAAAGATGCTGTCTTTCCTTTCCTTTCATTTTCTTTTCTTTTTTTTTTTTTTTTTGCTCATTTCTAGACTAATATTTAAAAAAACTGCAGAAGTTGAAGAATGAGATTATGGGTTATTTTTAAAGGGTCTATATACATGACAGAAATCA